GAGCCCTGAGCTAAGTATTTCAAAGTGAGTAGCAGTTGCCTGGATCCCTACTGCCCAATAAGGTAGCCACTTGCCCCATCTCGTTGTTGGAACTCACTCATACTAGCCACATTGCAAGCAGTCAGTGGCCATGAGTGGCTGGAGGCTGCCACATTGGACAGAGCAGATAGAGAACTTTCCCTTCACCATCACAGAATGTGCTATTGCACCACACTGATCTAGACCAAAAAATTGGGGGAAAGGCATTCTAGGCAGAAGGAACCCGATGGAAAGACTCAGCGCTCTGAGACAACATGACTCATTCTGGGGGGAGATGGGCGTTGCGGCTGAACAAACAGGCAGCAGTCTGATTGCAAAATGGCATTACTGCCAGGCCGGGGAGTTTAAACTCTAGCCTGAAAGCCAGTGGGAGCCCCCAGAGGCTTTTGAACAGAAGCCTGATGTCATCAGCTTTGCATGTTAATAAGGTCTCTCTGGCAGTCAGTGGGCTGGATCAGAGGGGCCAGCCCAGAGGCAGGTGGGGAGACCGGTTCTGAGACTGTTGCAGTTGCAAGGGAGAGAGACATGAGAGAGGCCTGAAATGAGGTGGTGACTGTGGCACAGATGCAGAGGCAGGAGAGAGATGTGGATGACCCACTGGCTCATTGCGTCTGGTCTCTACGAGGTACTTTGTAAATAGTTGTCGAATAGTTAATGAATGAATTACAGCCGAGCCCAGAGTGTACGACAGGGTGCACATCCCCCTGGCACCATGGGTAGTATCTATTGCACAAAGAAGTACAAGAGCATTTCTTTTCAGCGGAAGGAGGAAGGGCAACAGGGAGAGAGACAAACAAGAGAGGTGGAGGGGAAGGTACTTCCTCTGTCCTGTGTGATGGAGCGAGGGCTCCGGTGAGGAGGGAATGAGCTGTGGGAGACCCTTGACCTAGGCAGTGCCTCTCTGGGACCCAGGGGCAGGGGTGACTCAGAACTAGGTACAGGCCATTCTCCACCCCTCCTCTTCCCCAACCCCCTGGCCACATGGACTGCAGGGCAGAGTTGGTTTCCTGAAGGATCAGGACATTTCATCAACATACAGATGCAACCCACAGCGGGTCAGCAGCATCAGGGAAGTCGCTGTCAGTGGAGGATGCTCGAGGACAATGGAACATGGCCAGAGTAGGAGGCATTAGCCGACTGGTTCTTAAACACACGAGAGGTACCAGCCTCACTCCCTTGGACTCTCAAAGTAACTGGAGATCTTGAGGGCACGCGGCTGAAAGCTACTGTAACTTGGGCATCAATGTTAATATCACCTTGTTTGCACCTATGGGTCCCTAAGGCCTGGGACCTTTGGGTTACAGAATGAATGATAAGTGACATGAGGCAGGTTTCATTTGCTTATTCATTAAGCAAATATTTGTTGAGCCTCTGTGTGCCAAACATGCTGGGCAGACGATGGTTCACAAAACAGAGATGATCCCTGCCGCTGGGGAGCTTACAGTCTAATAATCCAACAGACCAGCGTATGCGCTGTTCAGGAAAAGCACCAGGAACCACCAGGTAGTCCAACGGGAAGGATTCTTTTAGATTAGGGTCAGGTAAGGATAATATGAGAAAGTGACATTTAAACTGAGACCTGAAGATGCATAGGAGTTAGCCAGGCAGAGGGAACAACAGGTATGGATGCTATGGGAGCCAATCTGGAGGCTGAGAGAAGGCCAGTGGGTGGGAGCATGGCAGCAAGGAGGGGAGAGGCACAGAGGAGGCCGGAGAGGGAGGTAGGGCCAGACCTCACACGGCCACATGGGGACTTGGCTTCAAATCCAAGTGCGGTGGCTGGCAGGGGAGTGACATGATCAGGCTGGTGTTATACAAGGATTGCCCTGGCACCTGTGTGGAGAATGGATTGGGGACAAGAGAGTATGCTGGGAGAAGCGTGTCGAGGCTCGATCGGTCGCCAACAAGAGATATGGTGGCATGGTTGTGGTGATGGAGAGACGTGGAGGAACCTGAGAAGTATTTAAAAGAACCAAGACAACATGTTTTTCCCTTGCCCTTGTTTTCGTACATATGCGCTGAAGCGTTAACTTTAGACAAGGCCAACAGCAAGTATTCGCCCAGGCCAATCTGTCCCACCTGTGGCCTGTTTTGCTCGGGGTTAGTTGATCTAACCGTGCCCCGGTGACATGGGCCATTCCCTCGCCTCCAAGCAGGACGACACCTGACTCCAGTGCGTTTTATGTTTAAAGATTTCCTGAGAAAGCTTTCACAACTTCTGTAACCTCTGCTTATCTTTAAAATAATCACCATTGGGAAACCCTTGTGTGTATTTTATCTGAATGCTTATCGTCCTAAAGTTTCTTGATTCTTGATGGAGATGGAGACCCTGAAATCGGTCACCTGGGCCAACAAGTGTGGATGATGTCATACTGGCAGTTCTGAATCATGTCTCATTTGTGAGCAACAGAGAAAAGTGCCTGAAGATCCCTAGAAAAGGGATCTCATCTGATTTTTGTGGCTCTCTAGCTCCCTGTCAAGTTCTGTGCCCTTGCTACTCAAAGTCTGGTCCGCTGACCGAGGAACATCACCTCAGAGCGCGGTGGACACGCAGGACTGAATCAGAATCTGCATTTTAACACGTTCCGGAGGCAATCCACAGGCCCTGAATTTTGAGAAGCACTGCCTTCGATCACCCTGAGGCCATCTAAAAGTGGGTGGGCAGTGGCAGGTACCAGAGATTGGAAATTGCAGGGAGCCTCAGCAAGTGGTTAGGAAATCTGAACCGGTTCAACAGGAACCGACTTTCTCTGGAAGTTCCCTGCCCTCAGGTCATGCAGAGCGTTTCCGCTGAAGTCTGAGACATTTGTGCTGTCTCCCTGATTGTGTGGATTGTGTGGCTGGGAGGAGCGCTGGGTGGACACGCCTCTGGCGCTGAAATGCTGTCAGGCAGAAAGCAGCTCCCCATGTGCTCCCCCAGGCAGCACCGGAGGCCCAGCAAAGCCGCTTCCTAACACCCCCAAGTGTGGACAGTTCGGTCCTCATCCTCCTAGGCTGGTCCCTAAGGGCCCCAGTTCTCCGTGGGTGGTTAGGGTGATTCTTGCGTCCTCCTGAATTGAGCCACGTGATGCACAGGGGCAAGGCTGTTTTAGCACGAGACTCCCCGGACGGCCTGGGGTGGAACAGAACATCCAGTTCCAGGCGTTTCGGAAGCTCTGCCCACACTGTGCGGCAGGCCTCCCCAGACCAGTGAACCCCGCTCCCACAGACACGACGTGCGGCCTGGCAGAACACGGGCACGTCTTATCATTGCTTTCTTGAGAAGTGTTTCAAGGCACGAAATCCAGGCCAGAACCAAATTATTTCCCTCTCTCTTCACTGGGGCTGGTCCTCCCACATAATCAGACAAATGGATGAGGTTTGTGGGCTGTTCAAAGCATATGGTTTGTAAATACTGTACAATCAAACATCGCTTTTGGCTTTTATTTACTGTAACACGTTCACATTACCTAGCACCAAAATAGCTTTCAGGTCTTCTTTGCCTTGCTTTTCTTTCTCCCTGCTCTTTTGCCGTCAACCTCGCGGTGCCTTCGCCCCTGCCCTCCCCGGCGCTCACACCTCTGCTCTCATTCCTCCTTCCGCACCTGCTCCGTCGCTCCTTCCCGCGCTTGTCTGCTCGCCAGCCGACTCCTACTCCCATGTCTTCCTCACCTGCCCCGCTTAACCTTAACATCTTGCCTCCTCTCCCTCCCTTTGTCCCTCTCACGCGGCTCCTTGATCTTCTGAAATGTCTTTGCCCCCCTTCCCTTTCCGTGCTGCCATCTCTAAAGGCTGCGTGCCAGACCCTCCTCACTCTCGCTAGACGCCCCCCGTCGCTCAGGGCTATTTTCTCTTCCCTCCCAAGACTCACCACAGAGCACCCTCTTTTTCGCTTCCTCTCTACAGACAACACAGGGATCACAGAATCGTAGAATTCAGAGTCAAAGGGACACAGCCCACATTACACTGACAGTTACTTCTGAGAAGAAACTCTTTCTTCTTCTATCACCCTCCATAATGGCTGCTGCCGTCACTCCTTAGAGCAGGAAGGGCTGGGGGAGAAGACAAAGGAACAGGCCCACCTCACCCCCCAGGGCTCCCTCACCAACACAGGCACCCCACCCTTTCATTTCGGTCTCATTACACACACCCGCCCTCTTCTCAGGGCCCTTGGTGCAGACGTGTTTGCTCCCGGGCTCTGAGTTTCCTTCTCCGGTGCGGTGTCTCCGCTCCCCAGCCTGGCCAGTCCCCACCCACAACCCCAAGGGAAACACAATTCTATTTTGAGGTGGCAGGAGAGATAGCGGCCCCACATGCAGGTATTAGGTGTGTGTGTTGGGGGGGGGCGCTGTCAGCAGTGGCTCAACAGCCAGATCCAACAGGAAGCTCACTGCAAAGCCGGCTCCCACCCAGGGTCATGCTCAGCCAATCAATCAACCCATCAACAATAGCGAACCAATGCTCTTGTGGAGTGGGCTTCTCTCCGTGCCACTGGGCAAAGCATCCTCAAAACATGGGGAAACAAATAGAGACCCAAAGAGACACCCTTGTCGCCATAAAATAATGGCTCTAAAATCCAGCTTTCTCAGCTGGGGCTTCTCTAAGCATTTTACAGAGTCTCAGACGCTGCTTTCTTGGTATCCGGGGAAACAGAGGTTACTCTCAAGTAAGTCACTGAGGATTTGTGAAAACCCCTCCGTCTCCCAGTGCTTGGCTCCTCGGGGTCTCCGTTTCTCCAGGTCAGCCTCGGAGAGGAGGACTAGCCGAGGAACACTCACTGGAGGGAGGTGAAGCCAGCCTTGCCCAGGCCTCGGGACACCTGCTGCTCCAGTCCAGTCCCGCCTTCTCGGCCCTTCCTGCTCCCAAGCTCAGCCCTGTGGGGCGGCACCTTCATTCTCAACCCAGCAGTACCCACCCTTGTAGAGCAGGAGGGAAGCTGCCCTGCAAACCCTGAAGGTGAGCAGGGCTTGGAGGTGAGCTCAAACATGCCCCACCGAGTCCAGCCCCACCCTGTAGTTCCGCGTCCAACCCCGGGGTGTGGCTCTCTGCTGAGCTACTCTCAGTGAACATTCCCCAGGCCAGGAGGAAGCAGGACCATCTTAGAGATGGGAAGAATTTTCGTTTCATGTCCCTGCCCCTCCCCACCAGCCAGTTTTCCCACTGCCTTCCACACACCGCTGAGGGGAGCAGAAAAACAAGTATGAATATCATTCTCACCTGACTTCCTTTCATATCAACTAAGTAACCAATGAAATTGCCAATAAATTACTATTAGAAAATGCGTGTACACAGAGGCATAGGTGTGCATGTGTGCGTACACACATATATACGTGTGTGTGGATAGTTCCAGCTTTTCTTCCTTGCCCCCTCTCCTGCAGGCAGCTTCACACAAAAGCCTCTGACCCCCCGGAAGGGCCTCATCGGATCATGGGCGCCACGTAGTTGGCAGGGAAGAGGCCCAGTTTGTTGTGCAGGCGGCCGGTCCACCAGGACGGGTTGGAGCTGTCCAGGACCTCGACCACCTCTCCACAGCGAAACCCCAGCTCGTCCTCCTCGAGGGCCTCAAAGTCGTACAGCGCCCGGGCCCACCGCACTCGCTGTCGGGGGAAGCACAGAAGGGGCCCGCTGAGCCAGGCCCGGGGGGCCTTCGGAGCCGCTGTGGCGCAGGAGGCGTCCTGCCGGGCCCCGCAGCAAGAGGAAGTCCTCGGTGAGCAGCCTGCCCTGAAGGCAGACGTCTGGCTCTCCGGAGACCTCCCTAACCCCACTGTGACGGGCAGCAGACCCCACTGCACAGCCCGGGGTGTGGAGTTACCAGAACTCAGCCGAGCCGCTCTTGAGACTCAGGACTTTTACCGACAGAGATGTTAGTCTCCGGGGCCCCAGGAGAACCCTTGACAGCTACTCTCCCTGCATCAATAGGTGGTCTTTTCACTCTCTTCAGGTGCCAGGATGGCAGTGTGCCCAAATTAACAGCCCTCTGTGCTAGCGCAGCCGAGGCAGATGCGGCGCGAGGAAAAAGGCAACAGATCTCCCTCGGCCAAAGCCAGAGCCAAAAACCATGAGGACAGGGCAAGGCCCAGCGGCCGGACAGAACAACAGACCGGCATCGGCTCTGCCTGGGAACTCCTCCCCCCATGGCTTGCTGGCCTCCCACCACCTCCGTTCTGAGCTCTGAGCAGCTTGCCTCTGTCCTGGAGGACCAACCATTTCTCTAAGTACCCCTCTGGCTGCCTTCATTGAGCCCAGGGAGGGAAAGTTCACATACCCCGGCCACTTGGAGCTGCACAGGGTCTGTGTGTCTCCGGTGCATGAGGGCCGGGTTCATGTCGCCACCCACGCCCATGCCACAGTGCCCATCGTTTATGTCAAGGCTGCCTCCTCGGCGTTCCTGGAAACACATGTAACAGAGGACCTGTCACCACACCACATCCCCAGCAGGCCCCCCAGTGCCTTGCTCAGAGGCCACAGACACAGCCAGTGTTCCAAGAATACGTGCTGCTGCTGATAAACCCCAGGGGTGGGAGAAAGGGGGAAGGGTGGCAAAGGGACCTTCGACTGTGAAGACAAACGCCAGATTTCATTCATTCAAAGAATATTTATCAGGCACCTGCCATGTGTCTAGCACTGTCCTAATCACTGGGGATATGTAGCTGGAAAGAAAAGGGCCTTGTCTTCGTGGATCGTCAGTTTAGAGGGGGAACCATACACATTTAAGTGATACGCGAGCTGAGAGAATGTCTAAGTCTGCCAGGGTAATCAGAGAAGTCTTCCTAGAGGAGGTGATACTTGAACTCTAGCTTAGAGGAGGAGAGGGATCAGCCAGGAAAGGGCATTTTAGGCAGAGGAAATAGCATATAAAAAGCCCCCAAGTTATGAGAGAAAACACAATGGACCATTTTGGTAACTAAAGATAGTGCAGTGTTGCTGGAATGTGTGTTTGCTCAGGGAGTGGGGAAGGTGGAGGGTCGGGGGGGGGTGGGTTTAGGGTGAGGCAGCAGGAGATGAGGCTGGGGAAACAGATATGGGCAGCTCACAAAGGGCTTTGTGTGCCCTACTAAGGAATTAAGGAACGATGTTATCTGGCTGTATTGTCCATCTGGGTAAGCGGCCCCAAATCCCATCTGGAGCAGGGCAGGAGATAAATAAATAAATAAATAAGCAAGGCTCTATTGCCGGTATTAATCCGTTTTTCTTGTGGATCTCCACAGCCAGATGGGTTAAGGGGCATGAATAGATTTGGAATTGCTCTGACAGGAAAACGAAGCAACGGCTCACTGAATCCTCAGGGTAGGAGCCTGTGCGTGTGTGTGCATGCATGTGTGTGTGTGTTCAGGCAGGGGGCCAACGAATTCACAGGGACTTCTGTGGCAAGAGCAGTTCCCATATCATTTTATCATATTTCGGCCAGTTGGGAGGTCCCGGGTCTTCTTTATGAGCTCTGCGAGCCGTCCCGAGGCTGGGCCGAGCCTGAGATGCTCCTCTGCACAGTCCCAGGACCACAACAGCCCCCCGGAGCCTTTGTTTGCTCTGGTTGCATCTGGCTTTGTGGGGGTTTTTCACCTGCTCAGTGACCATGGGGACAGGGAGGCCTGAGCTCTGGGCTGAGGAGAGCAGGTCCTCTCCCCTACCTCACGGCGCCCACTCCATTCCTCTGAGGTACCTGATGGAAATGAGGGTGCTGCAGGTAGCGGTGCTGCTGTGCTGGGGGGGCTGGGGGGCACTGCGAGGGAGGGGGCGCCGGGCGGTCCGACAGCTTCCGGGTCATCGAAGGTCGGATTTCCTCTCCCACAGCCCCACTGAGGTGCGGGCCTCCCTGGGGCCTCCGGTCCAGGCTGTTGCCCCGGTGACCCTGGGAGAGAATGATGAAGATGATGCAGATCCATCCTCCTCCCGCATCTCCCAGCCCCCCCCCGCCCCCCGCTTTCTGGCAGTTTGCCCACCACCTCTCCAAGAGACAGCCGAAGGCCCGCGGGCAGCCTCAAGAGAGCCGATGGTTCGGCCCCTCGTGGTTTCACAAATGGTCCCCACGTTCTCAGATTCTCCCGGGTTGGGGACTCCGGGTCTCTGGTTCACTTTCCACGGGCTATGCATGGACTCCCTTCCTAGTGGGCTTGTTTTCCTCTCTGCAATCAAGCTTCAATATTCTATTTTACTGACACAATGCCGCCCCTCCTTATCGCATGTTGCCACACCGCCGGACACCCTACCCTCCCGATAAGCTCGGCCATTGACTTTGCCTGATTTTGAACTGTCACTTATAGCCTGGTGATAGAGCCCCAGACAGCAGCCCTCTTGCGGCGCCATGGAAACCAGGCCTGCCGCTGGGCACGCTGGGAAGGAGCACGGCCTTTCTGCTTAATGGTACCACGACCGTGTGACTCGAGGTACTTTCTTGTTATTTTTATTTCACAAACAATTACACAGGGCCTGGGCTTCATATATGCCAGGCGCTGTTCGAAGTGCTTTACAAATATGAACTCACTTAATCCAGTTCAATGTGGTTTTTTTTTTTTAAAGATTTCATTTATTTATTTGACAGAGAGAGACAGTAAGAGAGGGAACACAAGCAGGGGGAGTGGGAGAGGGAGAAGCAGGCTTCCCACCGAGCAGGGAGCCCGATGCGGGGCTCGATCCCAGGACCCTGGGATCATGACCTGAGCTGAAGGCAGACGCCCAACGACTGAGCCACCCAGGTGCTCCCCAGTTTAATGCATTTTATGCTACCTCTTTTCTCTCTGCATGCACATCCTGCTAAATTAATACCTCTGTTTCTTAGTTAAAATAATTCACAAAGTCTTAGTTAACCTTTGTTTTTCTTTCTGAACTTTTATGTGCACTTGCTGGGACGCCCTTTTCTCCTAGGACTGTCACTTCTCAGGCTTACAATCAACCAATTACCTGAAATGGTTTTCTCTACTTCTCCAGAGCACCTGTTGATTTGAAAGCCTCAATGCCTTTTCAAATAACTTGTTCCAGGGATTTCAACTATTTTAACTATTCCAGAGAATGCTTCTTTCCAGAATACCCATCTCTTTCTTTTAACGATGTTGTTTCCTTTGAAAGGTATTTTATACATTGTGTGTGTGTGTGCGTGCGTGTGTGTGTGTGAATTTTCTTATGGGAGGCAAGTTAGCATTTCCTTGGTGGCTACTATTGTCCAGACTCTATGGCAAGTGCTATCACCATATTATTTCATTTAGTCTTTACAACAGCCCAGAGAGGGAGGTATTATATTCTCTCCATTCTCCAGATGAGAAATCTGATACTCTGAAAGGTTTCTTAACTTGGCTAGGTAGTAAGGACAGTTAGTGATGAAATTAGGATTTAAAGCTAGGTTCGTCTGGGGGTGCCTGGGTGGTTCAGTTGGTTGAGCGTCCAACTCTTTGGTTTCAGCTTAGGTCATCATCTCAGGGTCGTGGGGTCGAGCCCTGAGTCAGGCTCCGTGCTCAGCTCAGAGTCTGCTTGAAGTTCTTTCTCTCTCCCTCTGCCCCTCCCCCTACTCTTGAGCGCTCTCTCTTTCTCTAAAATAAATAAATAAAACTTAAAAAAAAGAGCTAGGTTTGTCTGATGCATTTTCTAGTAAAATAATACTCTATTTTCTACACTGTTCCAAGAGCAAGAATTCCAGGTCCAGTTTTTTCCTCCAACACCCCCAACCTCCCTTTCTGTGACAAAGCTCTACCTGCTACCTTAGTCTTGGACTCTAGGCTGCTCTCCAGCATCACTGCATGTGGCCCCCTGGCCTTCATCTTTGGGCAACTCCTAAGCTAGGCTGAAACTGCGATGTAGTAATATCTATAGAAACAAAATAAAGCGTCCACTGCTAAGAGCTAATGTTTGTGGCGTGCTCGTAGCGCTGTTAGGAGGGATGCCAGGGAAGGGGGTACGTTATCTTCTCTAACCTTCACCACCATCTATGAGCTAGGTATCACCATCGTTCCAATTTTATGGATCAGGAAACTGAGGATCAGACAACTTTCCCAAATCACATGGCTGGGAAGTGTTAAAAGATGATTTTTTTAAAAAAGATTTTATTTCTTTATTTGAGAGAGAGAGAATGAGAGAGAGAGAGAGCACATGAGAGGGGGGAGGGTCAGAGGGCAAAGCAGACTCCCTGCCGAGCAGGGACCTCGATGTGGGACTCGATCCCGGGACTCCAGGACCATGACCTGAGCCGAAGGCAGTCGCTTAACCAACTGAGCCACCCAGGCACCCGTTAAAAGATGATTTTAACCGAGGTCTGACCTTGGACTTATTCTGTTTTCCAGAATACTCAGAGGACATATCATCAAATGCATTGTCTTGATGGGTCATATAGGACTCATGCTGCCTAAAATCTGCAGACTGGGGCTGATCTGGGCCTGAGGCATACCTGATCCTCTCGGGTTCTATCCCTCAGAAAGATCTGCTTCTGTTTGGAGATGGAAGTCGTCCTGTAGTAGTCCACCAGCCTATTTAGAGACGGAAACTTCTCTGTCCACAGGAAGTAATTACCCTTGTTGTCTCTCATGACCTTGAAGTGCTGAACATCATCCTCATGCCTAGAGATCAGGGTGAATCCAAATTGTATATTACATGGTGACGATGTCCCCACCCCCAGGGCTGACTGCATCCAGGGATGCTGGAGTTCCACTGGGGCAGGAAAGGGGATGTGAATGCCTACCATCACAGGGCGGGTGGGCTGGCTCAGTCAAACTCTAGGGGGAGATTTGTGAGAGGGACCGCTCAGGACACAGGTGGCATTAGAAGGGATTTTTACATCAGCAGAAGATAATCTGTCTTCCAACACTGGAGCCAACCTTTTATAAGAAAAAAATGTCCAAGTGCTTCAGCGACCACCAGGTCAAGGACTTTTTACAAATGTTTGTTTGAAATGTGGCAACCCCTGAGTCCCGTACGATGCCAAGGACTCTGCCAAGACTCAGAGGGGAAAGGTTTTTCACCCCTGTTATCTTTCCATTATCAGAAATACTTTGAACCAGCTCTTTTTAAGCCCATAAACTAGCTCTGGACAGTACGAGACTATCTTGAGAAATTTGTCCCACTTGGTTTTCTACTTACTGGAGATCTCTTGGTCTTGGTTTATGTTGATTGATTTATGTTCTTGATTTATGTTTGCCATAAATAAGGTTACAAAGTATTTTGAACTTTTGGGGAGAAAAGTGTTATACAGCAATGTAGTGTTTTAATTGGAAAGGACCTCTGAGATTGTTTAGCCTTGTCTCCATGTTACCGATGAGGATGCTGAGGCTCAGATTGGTGGAGGGGCTTGGCCAAGGTCACCGTGAGTGATTGGTGGAGCTGAGGCAAGAACCCTGGCTCTCTGATTCCAGCCCAGTGAACTGAGCCTGTCATACCATGTACATGTGCCAGCTTCTTTTAGATCGGCACCTTTTGACACCAGCCGGAATCACCGTGATGGGAAATAATTGTATCAGAGATGGAGAAATTGGACTTTACTCATCTGGAAAGGGGGAGCTTGGCCTTTACTAATAGCTCCAGTCTTTCCCCATCACCAAGGCATTCTCTTTTCGATGTCAAGTTTATTCACCAAACACACATACATTTATATCTAAAAATAAGCTAATGATACCGGTTGCCTGATCCAACAGAAAGGTCAAGAATTTAAAGAGAGTTGGGGAGTGAAGATGCCTCTGAAGGTTAGTGCAGGTTTCTTAAGGATGGATTCAGTGGTCTGTGTTCAGAGGGGATGGGAATTTTGATTGATCTTCAGTCTCATCTTGTGTGCTAGGCTGTGTTCATGGCCAGGTGAACCCATACGGGACCTCTGCTTGACTGCTCTGGGCTACGAACTGACACTCTGCAATCCCTGCAGGGTCTTCCCCTTGGTGTTGGCCACTAACAGATGCTTTCTTCACTCTAACAACACATGACTTAATTCATAGTCATTACTCCTCACATCTGTGTGTGGAGGAGGAAATATTCTTGTGATATAATTATTCATCCACCACCTCTTAGTCAAAGAACTCAGAGTGAGAAACATTAACCCTCTCTCTCTCATAAGCTGAGAGGATGGATGTCAGGCTTGCACCCGGTCCTCTGGGCCCATGGAGAGAGAGAGTGACTGCACCATTGTCTCAAGTTCTAAGAGGGGAAGAAAAAGGGATAAAACTCAGGGCTCCAGACTCTAAAATCTAGTGTTTCAGACCCTTAACAAATGCTAAGTGATAGAACTACAATTAGCTCTTAATTATCTTTGCATGATAGAAGGCAGATGTATAAATAAATAAAAATGATTTGCTTTGGAATATATTAGGCTACATTTCTGCAGAAGATGTAGTAATGATTATGGTAATAATCACAAGAGGCTGCAACGCCTCAACAGTAGGGAGAGACTGTGGCAGAAGTCAAGGCTGACCGTTTTGGAGAAGTCACCTTAGTTGAGGAAATATAAACCATAATTCCTAGCTGAAAAGCCACAGTGCACTTCATGCAAAGCAGAGGCACCAAGAGATGCCCTTCAATGTAACCATTTACCTGGTCCAATCTGTAATCAGGGCCCTTAAAAAAGAGGTTTGACTGTAAGATTTATTAACAGAGCAAAATTGCATTAAGACCAAACAAATGTAGAATTTGTGATACATCAGTATTGGCCTGAGCTAAAATTTCCTGTTGCCTAAACTGTGAAAAAAGAAAAAAGTTTTAGTTAAGGAAAACTAAGATTTTAAGCAAGATTGCAAGGGCAATGTTAATGAGACCAAGCTATTTTTGAGCACTTCAGAGGCACACAGGCATACAAATGGTTAACCCATTATTCCTAAGTCCTCCCTACCTATTCCTTAAAATATCCATTCTTCCTAAATAGTGAAGTGGCCTCAGTTCATTACCCGAGATTGGATTTACGCACTTAAATCACTGAAACTACATGCCTTTCAATGTGTATTGAATAATCCAGACCAACATTTCCTGTCAATGAACTTGACAGTAGGTTCCACTGTACAGGTTGTCACGTCTCCTCCTGTATGGATATCAGCATTAATTTGTGCACTTTCACATGTGGTCACCATGCCTGATATGTGACTTGCGATCCCAGACATGCTGACCACATGCAGTGCGCTCAGACTTGGGGTTTCTGAGCGTGGGGCTGTGTCATGTTTATGCCCGGACTGACTCATTTCCTCCTGGGTGCTGCACGTTAGCGAGATTTTGCACTACCGTCCCTCACCCCAGCCCTCCTCGGCTCAGATCTGTCGCTATCAGTTTGCTGCATTACAGTGTGCTGAGCTGGCCCTTCTTTTTATGCAACCACCTACAACAATGACTTGGGATTTTAATTTTCCTCTGAGCCTTCTTCAGACATGTATCAGTAGGAGAAGGAAAGGTTCAGATTTAAACCCCAAGACAGATGTGGACAATTGGGAATTCTCCCTTCCTTCTCCTGCCCCATTTCCTTGCACAAATACTCACTGAACGCCTGCTGGTTATAAGGCACTGTTAAAGACACAAAGGTGAAATAGATAAAGATCCTGTCCTTCCAGAAGCACTTAGGGGGAGGCAGAACATATATGTAATTTGGCCACAAACCAGCGTACTCAGGAGTCATATATATGCATCATGGGAAGGAGATGAATGGCATCCCAGTTGACAAGATGCCTGGGTCCCTTGGCCACCATGTTCCTGAGCAATAGGTCACATTCAAGAGGTCACCTCATGGCTTTAGCAGTCTGGGTTGGGAGTGGCCAGTACCTGACGGAGATGGAGAAGTCCCCTGGGGAGCTCTGGCTGGCCCGGATGATGAAGAAACCAACCTCCTTGCCCATAAGTAAGTTCTCTGCCTGGTGTCGTGAGAGACCTTCATGAAACCACCTATTGGATGAGATAAAACCAGAGAATCTTGGTGAGATGCCAGAGTGATTGGAAGGAGAAGGGGAGAAGAGATGACCCAAAGGGATGGAGGCCGGGGACTCTGGACAGCAGAGTGCAGAAAGAGACAGAGGAGGGGCCAGGACCTCTGAAACCAAACATATGCTCCCGGCAGTTTTCAGGCAAGGCAAGTGAGTGTTCCCCTGACGCGCCCCCTTTGTTCCTTCCCTCCAGGAGAAGTCTCTCTCGCGCTCGGAAAACCTGAATCATGGAAATGTGCCACTGCACCAAAATGGGACAGTGTGGGAGTGACTCACTGCGGGAAGCAGCCGCCTGCTGGCAGCTCTGTGAGGGATGTCACTAGGAAAGAACTGCAGGGGACAGATGATGCACCAGGAGGACAGGAACCCCTTCAGGCGCTGGGGGACCGAAGCCGGGAAGCCAGGCTGAGAGCTCAGTGGGCCCCCTCAGAGCCCAGGGGCCCTGGTGATCTGGGTGGTGTGGAGCCAGGCTAGCAGCTGCCAGAGAGCGGCATCTACACGGCCAGCTACCCGGCCCTCCCCCAAATCCAGGAGAATCATCTTTACCGTGGAAAAGAAGGAATGGAGGAGAAACTCCTCTTTCCGGGGACAGTCAGGGTGGCAGTGTTGTGGCAGGTGGCCTGGCATACGTGCAAACGGCCAAGCGCTGCCAAACAGAGGCTACGGCCTCAGGGCAGGAGACCAGAAACCTCTCAACCACAGAAGAGCACAAATGAGGGTTTGCAATCACTCAGCAGCCCCGACCGGGACGGGTCCCATTCCTCCAAGGCGGCTGCTCGAGCACCGCCCCTGGAAGGCTAGTGCGTGCGTCCCTTTAGGGGGAAGTCCCGACACGCTTGGGATTCCTTTGTGAGCAATCCCCTGTGCTCTCTAGAATTTAGGAACCTGACGTCCAGACAGGAGTGGCAGAAGGGATGTCCTTATTCCAGACCTAACACTGCAGGGGAAGCGTGGTTGGGCGGTGAGGGGCTCGAAGCAGAGGGTTTCCGGCCACCAACTCCCTGGAGATCATTCCAGAGCATCTGCCGTACTTGGCCCCAGGGCTGAACAAGCGACCACCACAGCTTGCCTTGTGTAGGGAATGTAATGGGGCTGGGTAAAGGAATGGGGCATGCTCCATGGCAGCCATACCTCGAAGGAAATATTTTGAACGAGGCAGCGAATGCTTAGGGGATTGTTTGAAAAATACACATTCGTCCTCAAATTGGAGTTTGATACGTGACTTCAAGACGGGCAAAAATGTCCACACACTACATATTAAACACGCGGGCAGGGGTATGTTTTTGCCTGTCATTCCAAAGCTACTCATTTGTTCATTCAACCGTTTTTATCAAATATCTACTATGTGCTGGCCTTCCGCTGGGCACCGGGGATGTGGTGGTGAGCAGCGCAGACAAGAAGGCCTGCCCTTGTGGAGCTTACATTCTATCACGCAGAGACGCTAGAACCCGCCAGCCGGCCGCGCAGTCCACCGCGACCACGATTCAAAGGTTTCAAGGGGCGGGGAGGAGTTAGAGATGAGAAAACAGACAAGTCTCTTTAAGAAGTGCAGTGGGAGCTGGAAGGGGACTTGGGATCAAGAATTTTTGTTTTGTTTTTTTGGTAAGATGGGAGAAATTGCAGCATCTTTGCTGATGGGAATGACCCAGGAGAGAGAGATAATTGATGTGTGAGAGAGGGAGGAGGTTTCTGCTAGAAGCACAGACAATTCTTTCCAAACCAGCTGCAGGAAAGGCATCCTTGTCTGAGAACGGTTGCAGGAGGTGGGTGGATGCAGTGAGTCAGCTGGGGGGCGGGGTAGAGGGGCTTTTCTGGTGGCTTCCATCCTCCCAGTGACACTGAAAGCAAGGCCCTGAGCCACGAGCGCTGTGGGGGAGGGGCTGGAGGTCTGAGGAGCAAGAAGGTGTCGGGTGGTCATCTAGAAGATTACAGGGCAGGGCGCCTGGGTGGCTCAGCCAGTTAAGCATCTGTCTTCGGCTCAGGTCCTGATTCCGGAGTCCTGGGATGGAGCCCCAGATCAGGCTCCCTGCTCAGCAGGGAGTCTGCTTCTCCCCCCCGCCCCCCGCTCCCGCTCATGCTCTCTCTCAAATAAATAAATAAAATCTTAAAAAAAAAAAATAGACGATCACAGGGCAGCATCAAGGTTTGAGGTTGGTGGTCATTCTGTTGGTTCAGTGGCCAGTCCTGGTTCACAGTGAGTGGTGCTCCTGCACCTCACCAGAGTCACCAAGACTGCTAACAGACCTGTGCCCTTTTGAGCTAGACCGTGGCTCTCGGAGATTAGATTTCTATGTAACCCTTGTGGTCAATTCTGGAGACAAATGAGACCCAATCTCTATTTTTCTTTTTCCTCTTGATGAAGGGAATTTCCTCTTTTCCCCCCCACCGACTGTTCTCAGGGGTATGAGCATGGTTTAGGGAAGGCAGGGAGCTGTTTGGGATCCCTGGTGAGGATGGAAGACGTTGGGAGGTAATGGAGAAGTGCCTTCAAGGAGCAGTTCTTGACATGGGGTGGCCAACAGCGCCCCTGATAGGATTCATGGAAACCCTGTGATTGCAATTATAGATGAGTTTAGCTTATAAAACCTAAAATAGGCGATCCATGTGCATGGTATAAAATTCAAAAGGGAATGCAGTGAAATGCAAATCTCCCTCCCACCCTGGCCTTCAGCTGAGTGGTTCCCTCTCCAGAGGCAACCAATTTTGACAGTATCTTGGGTATGCATAGATAATTTTAGTGACTGCTGAAAAAGTAAGGGGAGTGTGTGTGGGTAGGCCCATGTCAGCAGGCTGGAAATACTTACTCAGGAAACTGGATTTCTATAAAATTCTTGGGCACATATCCTTCTTGGCTCCCAAGCTCCGCCTTGAACCACTCCTCTTGGTTACTTAAGATCTACATGGAAGAGAAGGAAGGACAGAGACTGTAGGGAGGACATCAAGAAACAAAAGAGAGTGACCGCAGGGCAAAGAACACCCTTTTGGACTCAGAGGGAAAAAACGCCAAGGCACCACACAGGTGCTCCAGTGGGGGGGGGCGGGCAACAGGTTTCTCTCTGGAGTTTGGTTTCTTTGACCCCAAGCTATTTCTGTCCACTGGTGCCACACATGGGACCCCACCATGGCGGGGCCTCCCAGACTCAGCACTCGGGGGATTTTCTGTATATTTTGGAAATTCATATGTCCCAGATCTCAGCTCCTGAAGCTCCTCATTTGAACAGATGCTGGGAAGGCAAGAGTGGCCAACCCATGATTTCTTCTTCTCTGCCAGGTAACCAGGGACCTTTTAAAATTTTAATTTGTTCCTATTTCTTTAAACAAGCAAATTAAAACTTAAAACATCCAGTGGGGCCAGCTTTGTGAAAACAGTAACTTTTTGTGTTCACACTCCATGTGTTTCACAAACAATTTGGACGTAACTCAAGATATTTGGAATGCCTTTTCTAAACTTGCTTTTAGTGCCAGATCCCAAGCAAAGCCAGAAGTTCTGTCTCATGACTATATGGTCTTTAGTTGACCGTGACCCCAAATGTTGTCGCTTCCCTTGATTACTCATATGACTCACCAGACTTGGCTCTATGTGGCTTCTGGTTATTTCAGAAAATGTTTCACTATTAAAAGACAAATGTTTGCCCCCATCCCCCACTGGGAATATTTCTAAAGCATGTGGCATGGACTTGAAAAATAATGGAGATGGCAGAGACAAACGATGAACAGAAGCTTGACGATGTCATTGAGCCCCTGAGTGAGCCACATAGGAACCTCCTACTTCTGGACTTTGTGTGAGAAGTAATCAATCTGCATGATTATTTCAGCTGTATTCAAGTTTCTGCCTCTTGCAGCTGACAATGCCTTAACCGATGGAACTGCTATGCTGAAGGGCAAAGCAGAAGATGAGTAGGAAAGACTGCCTGGAGGAGAGACCCTGGAGTTGCCCTGGCAACGAAAGAAGTGACCCGCGCAAAGTCTGATGGCACAGGAACTTCTGGGATGGGAGGAAGTGGGATGCCTTCTGGGAACGGAAGGCCTTGGTCCAGCGGGAGTTTAGATTGTGGCCCCAGGAGCAGAGTGAGAGGAAACCAGAGGCACAAGGCCCATGTTGAAAAGTCTGGACTTTTATCTTGAAATGTATGGGGAGCCACTAAAGGCTTCTGAGCGAGGAAGTAACACAGTAAGAATTGGAGCCAAGAAAGAGTCCTGTATCGGAGCGTGAAGACAGATTGGAGGGGAAAAGTCTAGGAAGACAGTGTAGCCATGCCTGCGAGAGGCGAAGGGCTATTTTAGAGGAACCTGGAAGCAAAGTGTGCAGGATTGTGTGACTGTTCTCCGAACCAAGGGAGAAGGGGATTCTGGGAGGGCTCCGGATCTCGGACTTGGGAGACTGAGTGGGTGGTGATGTCTTGGCTAAAACAGAAAGTACAGGAGGAAGAGCAGGTCTGAGGAAGAGCTCATGGGCTTCAGATTGCATGTGGGTGAATCCAAGTTGCCCCTGGGACCGTCTGAGAAGAAAAGCTCAGTGAGCAGCTGGAGGTGTGTGTCTGGACTCAGCAGGGAAGGGGGGACTGGCATTCGGGATTTGAGTCATCCTAAAGCAGGTGGAGTTGAAGTCCGGGTGCCACGGGTTTCTCTCTTCCAGAGACGGGAAGAGATGAAGAGAGCTGAATAACGGATATTTCTAATATCACCCCCGAGGTGGAAGAAAGGGGCCAGCCCTCCGAGTTTGGAATGAGAAGACCTGGTTTCTAGCTTGGCCCCGTCATCATCTGTATGACCTTCGGCAAGTCAATTAGCCACCTGAAAAATGGGGACAGTAACAACCAGCTAGCCCCTTACAGAGCTGATGTGAGGATCAGATGAGCCCTGGTACCTCGAAGGCCTTCAGAAAGTGTATGCTGTTTTTAAAAATACAATTCTGCAAAATGTGGTATACTTAGGAGGGAGGACTCCAGCTCTGAAGGACATGGTAGGGTTTATAAGTTCTTTAAAGTATTATATGTGTATGTTTTGAATTTAATCACTTGTTCTGAAGAAATAAAAGTGTGTCCCATATTTGAGTTCTAGAATTGCTGAGGACAGAAAACTTTATAGTTTCTAACATCAAATGTGACTGCTGGTATCACTAAGGACGCGTGGGTATGTGTATGCCGATGGGGGTGCGGTGGGGCGGGGGGAGCAGAAAATCTAGGTCAGAAAAAGAACTAGGAAACTCAGCACACAAAGAACACAAGGACATTTCACTCCACGCCTTCGCGCCCCCCTCCCCCAATTTATGGCTTTGGAATTCCTTTCTCCCGTCACATGGGAGTGTGATGTTTGGGCTGGGTAGCAAATGTCAAGTACAAGGTGAGCAGGGATAAGGTAAAAGAGGCCAGTTGGAAATCGGCTCATCACGGTAAGAACCAACTTTGTACTTAGTTCTCTGACCTGAAACCAGCTGTAATTTTAGTAATTGTGGCTCCCACCCATCTACCTCCTGTAGAAACTGAAAGATTATCCCTCAATGCCGGCCATTTCTCCCCACCACCTGGTGCTCCGTCTGCCTGAGATCATGTTCCCAGAGAGGTGAATTTACAGGCTTTTTATGGTGTATAGGAAGGCGAGGTTTTAAAAGAATCTCATTTTCTGCAAAGAAGAGTGTTTGGGGGGAGGTGGTTTCCTCCTGCCGTTGTTGGCCCAGGGCCCCATACTTCCTGTTCTTCTCATCTCTCTGCCTGTTCGGTTCCCCCTATCTCTTGTCCCCATCATGAAAACCCAAGCAAGGGGTTCAGCCTGAGCACATGAGGCTTCAGACTTCACTTTACTGTGTCTTAATTCTTAGCATGTTGCCTACGAGAATAATTTTCTGGGTTACGTGGCCTGAGAATAAGTTAGATGTGGCAAGAGGACAAAATGTACAGTTGGGAGAATTATAAAATTGGGTGGAATTATAGCTCTTAGAGGCAGAGCAGAAATCTGAAGTATTAGAGAAGTTAATTGACATAGGACTAACTCTTAGTGCTTTCAGGTCACTGTTTTAGAAGGAAGAAATGGGGTTGAGTTGGACACATTACAGAAGTAGGTAGAAATGGACTGGGTCAAGAGAAAAAAATGACTGGCAAATTTCAGAGGGAAATGTAAGTCCGGTGCTGTGTGTAGCTGCAGGTCTGGTGGTGGGGTGGGGGGGGCGCGGTGGTTGAGGCACGAACATGAAACATCCGGCTCCTGACATCAAATACTTCTTTCACGGAAGAAGCGGGATCAAGTCATTTGGCCGGAGTTCCCCGTCCACCATCTTGTTCATCGTCCTGTCATCAGCATCTAGTGAGCACCTGCTGTTTGCACTTAGGTGCTGGGAATATGGACATGAATAAGCTGAGGCCTTGATCCTGGGGAAGTCACAGTCTGGAGTGGGTGGGTTGGTGGTGAACTAGTCAGACATTGTTTGTGCCTTCTAGTGAGAAAGTCTGTTTAGTCTTTTAGCACGAAAAGCCTAGGATGAAAGAGCATCCCAGGAGTAGATTACTGCGGCAGTCAAGAGCCGCCTTTGAAAGCACTTGCAAGATCTTGGGGCTTATGACCCATCTCTGGAGTGGCGGAGTAGGGTTGCAGTTGTACGTAGAGATGCACAGGCGGGGCACTAACTACCATGATGTAGACATGCTGTGGGGCTCAGCTAACAGGCCCCTCTCTACTTTCCGTTCCACCGTTAGGCTGCAAGGGACAGAATTTGAAAAGAAGGAGAGGTTTGCCCTTCTGGTGGAATTCTACATGACCCTGTAGAAACGCAATTTAACAATTCAAGCCACTGGTACCTATTTGGGACCAGGACTTGTGTGGGGCGCTGCTGGGAAGGCACAAAGATGAACCAGGCATGGCTCTGCTCTCAGGGAGCTCACAGACCACTGGAGTAATCAACCACTCATTCATTCATCAGATATTAGGGACAGTCAACTCTCTGCTGGTTTGGACACAGGCGGGCCCGGCAATCAGGATTCCACAGGGTAAGGGCAGTGATGAGAGATGGGTGCATGGGGTGCGCAAGAACACGGAGGCTTGGCTGCTCACCAATAACTAACTGTCATGGGAGGTGAGATCATCGGTGCCTTGAAAGAAGTGTGTGTGTGCAATGCTGTGGAAGAGCTGAAGAGGGAGTGATTAATCTTGCTGGGGCCAATGGGAGTGTAGAGGGAGTGAAGGTTCCCAGGCAGAGGTGGTCAAATATGTGTGTGCAGGAGAAAGGCATTGGGAGTATGGGGAGAGCCTGACACAGCACAGTGTGTATACTGCAGTATGACCTGGGCATTGCACACACCTCTGTGTGTGTGTGTGTGCGTGTGTGCGTGTGTGTATGGTGTATGTATGTGTGCATGTTCATGGACGAGAGCTTGATGAGCTTAGGTAGTGTGTTGGGATCAGGTGGCTTAAATTTCAATCAATTGGTAATGGGGAACAACTGAATTCTTTTGAGTATGGAAGTGATCTGACCTGACTTGTCTTCCAGAAAGATCCTCCTGAGACTAGTATGTGAAATGATTAAAGGAGTAAGCGAGAGGAGGTGATGAAATCAGTCAAGAGGCTGTGGCAATGGTCTGACTGGCAGCAGGAATGGGTAATACTGAAATGTGGCAACCATTTATGAGCATCCACTTTGAGCTGGGACCATTACCTCTAATCCTTTCCAGAATCCTGCAAAATAGATACGGATTCTACTTACAGATAAAGACGGAAGCTCAGAGGGGCAAGTGACTGACCCAAGGACACACAGCTAGTAAGCTGGGATTCAAACTCAGTTTATCTGGCTCTAAACTCCTGCTCCTTTTTACTGTATCAGACTTCTCTCTCATGAAGAAGGGGATTGCTTAAGAGATCTCAAGAAAGAAAAATAGGACAGAGTACATGTTTAGGAGTGAGGCCGAACTCCATTCAGATCCAGAAAAGGGACAGTTAACAGTGTTAAATTCCACAGACACGTTAGTAGGGTCATTATGTTCCACATTAAAGAGATCCCTGGTGGGCATACAGGGAGTGTTGGGGGTAAAAGGCAGATTCCAGAAGGTTCCAGTGGAATAAATGGGAAGTGAGGAAGTGAAGACACTGGCGTAGAGAAGCCCTCCCAGTGTTGGTAGCGAAGGAGAGGAAAGAAATCAGGAGGTAGACTGAGAAGCTGAGTTGAGGAAAGGGTTTTTTTTCCCTTTTCCTTTTCTGAGGAATAGGAAACCCATGAGGCGGATATTAGGTTCTGTTTGCAATGGGAGATGAGGGGTGGAGTTGGCCCCCTGGTCTCTTTCGAGTGGACGCTCTATAGCGGTTGATAATCACATGGTCACAATATCCCATACAGAAGGGAGGGACTGCTCACCATGTGGCAGATCCCTCTGTGACCTTGGTAAGATCCCACAGAAATGAAGGTCACCTTTTCTTGGGTCAGCAGCCCAGGGGACACTTTGATATTGAGAAGCTCCAGGATCGAAGGCACCCTCTTTGCAACTATATTACTAGATCTTTGCAAGGTGACAACAGTTAGAAGGATGAATCCCGGGGGTGTTCAAGTTCCAAACCAAGTCATCATACCTGGTCTGTGCTCCGTGGACACTTTCTGAGTCACCCCGTCACGTACTGACAAGGTTCTCTCTACAGCAAGTGTACTTTGTGGTGAGGCCGGCCTCAGTGCTACGGTGCAGTCTGAGAAGGCCCACGTGGGCTTCTGAGGACCAGGGATGGGGATTTCTGAGGGTCCTCTGAGGCCAGGCCGGCGGCGGGGGGCGGGGGGGGGGCGGAATTAGCATCACAGACTCGCCAAAGGGCCTGTGTAAGGGCTTGTGCTTTTGCTCAAAACAGGGGCGAAGATGCAGGACTTAAGCCTGTAAGTGCGGTGCGTGGAATGTGGAAGTCCGAGGCCTCTTCAGCCCTGCAAGCAGCCACTACAACTCAAGTGTGGGTGTTAAGCAAGTTCTAAGGTGTCCTTGAGGGGCCGGGTGTGCAAGCCTCCGTTGGCCCACGTCCCCTCCAGCTGTGTTTCCCAGGCTGTCTCCACCCCCACCCTCCTGTTAAGTTCCTCACAATGCTCACTGAATGCCCCCCAGGCTGGCTCACCTCCGAGCTTGAGGTCAAAGTCCAACTCACCCGCACTGCATTCCCTGACAACAGAAGTTGCCGCTCATTCCTGCGACCCCATCTCTCAAGGTTCCCTCACCTGTGCTCCCTGAGCATTTAGACTAGAATATCTGTAAGAGCCCTTTGGATGGCTTTCTTCCCCCCACCAGACCACGAGCATCTCAGGACAAGGGTGGTGGCTTCTTTCCATCACCCAGTCTGGAAACTGGTGCCCGGGAGGGCTCAGAAGGAAACTTTTTGATTGAGGTGAACTTTTCTTTTTGAAAGGAGCTGTGTGTAGTTCTTAAGAAAAAGGTGTGGGTTGTTAGGTGAACTTGGGGACCTGACCAGAGTAACCCAAACTCCCCAGGGCCCCCCAGAGGGCCCCACGTCACCTACCTTCAGAACGTCTCCAGTGTGAAAGCTCAGTTCATCCTCGCCTGAGGCGGTGAAGTCAAACTTGGCGATGGCTTCCATGTCGTGACGTGAAGCTGGAAGAGAAGTAATGTGCTCATTATGCCCTTCTGTCCAGAGGAGAGCAGCGGGCTGCATAGCAGTCTGAGCAGGTGGTAGGCACCTGGTCCAAGGCCTCCAGGCCTGAGGGGGAGGCCCAGGCACACAGGGAGGTTTTTCGAATCCCCGGGAATTATTGCGGGAGGGAGCCTGTAGGATGTGCCTCCCTTTCTTCCCTGAATCCCCGCATGCCAGGAGCAGGGAACGGAGGCCAGCAATGCCTTTCCCGTTCCTTTCATCTCCCTCTGCCTGTCTGGCCTGTCACCCTTTCTGGGGGCATCGCTGTTTCTGGTTGATAAGGATGGAAGACTCGCTATCATCTCTAACCTGAGGCCCGAGGGGCTGGAAGACTGTACTGTAAACATCGTCCTGAGGCTGTCCCTTGGCAGCTATATTTAACCAGGCAGTGTTAATTAGACAGATGCCATTTTCCCTTTTACATCTGAATCATTTAAGAGAATTAGGCAGCATCGGCCAGTGGGGAACTCAGCGCCCTTCCACATGGTTTGAAAGTGGAAAGCGTTCTGGTTCTAGAGGCAGGGGACTAGATTAGTCAGATTCCTTATTTCATTATTAGAGTGTAAGCCAAGTACCTTTTTAAAAAAAATTTCATTCTAATACTTTGGCATCAAGTTAAAATATTATTCCCCCCCGATAATACACAATACCTATATAAAATAAAAAAGTTAGCCTACAAATGAAATATAGTTGGTTTGTTTTTTGTTTTTTGTTTTTTAGGAGACACTGAAGCATGTCTGTAAGAAAGAGCAGAGTCCTGGTTTTGTTGGTGACAAGCTGTATGATTTTGTGAAATAACTAAACCTCTCGGGGTCTCAGTTTTCTCATCTGTAAAGTGGGGATCATATATTCAACTAATAATAGAGGTGCCTGGGTGGCTCAGTCAGTTGAGCCTCCGACTCCTGATTTTGGCTCAGATCATAATCTCAGCGTTGTGAGATCAAGCCCCTAGTCAGGCTCCACACTGGGCATGGAGTTGGCTTAAGATTCTCTCCCTCCCTCTCCCTCTGCCCCTCCCCCTGTGCACACGTGTGCTCTCTCTAAACAAACAAACAAACAAACAAATAAATAATCCTTAAAAAAAATAATTGTATGGAATGAATTTATCCTCAGCAAAGGTAGCCTGGCCAAAAGCAGCCTGAGTTTTCTTCTGATTTCTCCCATCTTTTATGAACTTTCCTCTCTGAAATTTGATGCTTATTCCCCATGACCCGCAAATCCTTTGGTTTTCTGCTAAGAGAGTTTGCTGTTAGGACAGTCTTGGAAGCTGTTGTTTGGCATTTATGTTTATCAGAATTTGGCTAAGTCTGAAACCCTTTAGGTTAGTAACCTCACACCTAATGGCTTTCAGTAACCAGCAAACCAGGACCACAATCATACTCTCAGTGGGAATTTCCACCCAAGTGACAAGATTTGGGTAAATGAGGAAGGTGGCTGCCAGTGGGAGGGTGCAGCATGCAGAGATCAGGGGATTAAAGCCAACTGCCACGGTGGTAACAGCAAGGGGCTCGGTTCTCTGATTTTACACATTTGCTTAGTCTTCCAAAGGCAATTTGTAGAGATGACGATTACCCATCCCGAAGGTAGATATTAAGCAAAAAATATTTCAGGAGCCAGAGTAAAATGTCATAGTTAATTGTCTGAGCTTTATCACCAGCCAAAATTTATTTCCAAACAAAAATATAGATATACTTTTTGTACCCTTTCTTCAGGATCTGTCCATCTAAGGCGAATTAAAATTGTGACCTAGGATGGCCCACTCGACAGGAAGGAGTATTCTGCCCTCCTTGGTGAGTGCTAAATGCTTTTGCTGATTTGCTTCACCCTGTGGCTTTAACATGAAAAGCCTCCCCTAATTAAGGCTTTGCCTTGAGCTTGCGGGAAGATGTGGTGTCTGCAGGTCACCGTCATGGTATCCACAGCAGATACTGGTCACCTCAGGAGAGCAAGTGTCAGGTGAATGGTCCTGAAAACCAAGATCCCATTTCTATGCAAATTTACCTTAATAAGCAGGATGGAGACAAGGGAAGGGCAAATGCTAAACATATTAGAAAATCACATAAATTAGGGATGAAAAAATATCCAAGGCATGCTCTAGATATGACCTTGAGCTTGGGAAGATCTTTCCTACATTACGTGTAACTCGGATGCAGCCTGGGTGCTTGGTCCAGGCTGGTCGTGCGTGACTTCGGTGAGAAGGCCGAGGCAGAACAGCATTGCTTCTGAGAAGCGGCTCTCTTCTCTGCCTTCCCCCACGAGGCAGGTGGTATGGCAAAGCCAAGTTCACGGGCACATCACCGAACTCCCTAGCTTATAATATTAATCCTGGCTCCAAAAACCCAATTAAATAGGCCCACTCTTCATGAAATCACTTTGAAAAAAAAAATGTGTGTGCGTCCCATTTCCCATTTCCATTTGTGAAATGAAATCTGCTCAGATGCTGTTTGGTAGGAAGGAGATGTTCGGGGGGAGTGGGTATGTTCTATTTTCGTTCCAAACCCAGGGCTTTGCAATTTCTCCCCTTGAAGTTACCATTCCCTGCTTCCCTAATAGCCGTGCCAACCCCCAGGGGTCCATCTTCTGTTTGATCATAAAAATGCATGGAAATTTATATCCCATTTTTCTATATCCATTAGTCTTAATTTTGAAAACTTTTAAACCACCACCAGGGAAAAAGAAAACTGAACTAACGTATTTTGTTCAGTATTTATCCATTTGTTATAGTCTGTAACTTCTACTATATATTTATTATCTTGAAAACATGGTAGCAACAATTACAAGACAAAAGAGAAAAGGGGAGGGGCGGGGGGGAAAGAGCAGCCAGCTCAAGAGTTCAAGAACGCAATGGAACCTTCCAGCTGCTGTGTGCAGTTACAGTGCTCCTGACCTCGGGGGGAGATGAAGAGAGAGACATCTCTTTAAAGAACCTCACGGAGGGATTCAATGTGCGTTTCCGTCCAGTGATCAGCTTCAGAAATGGCTGAAATGCTGCCTGCTACAGAACGTGAATGACAAGTGACAGTGTCCAGGGGCAGTCAAGCCGCCTCCTGCAGCCTCCCCCACCCACCCCGACCCCACTGAGGATGCCATTTGTCCAAGAATCCTACCTCGGAACCATGCCGGGCTCCTGCCCTTGATGCTGGCTCTGCTTCTCACCATCCCTCTGTGTCTCTCTCCCTTTGCCCCTTTATGAATTGCGTGCAATATCCATTAGCAGCCCCGTGACACAGATCTGCTGCGCCACTTGGAAGGACCACACAGGACTTCCCCAGGCACGATTTCTCTGCCCCTGCATTTCCATTTAAGCTTCTTTTACCGCCAAAAAAAAAAAAAAGAAAAAAAACCCTGAAAAATATTCAGGCTTATATACCAGGAATGTTTGTCTACTTCTAAAATACAGTCACCACTGAGGACGAAAACAAAAGCCACAAGACAGCTCTTTAAAAGAGCCGCCATGTGAAATCCAGATTAATTGGATGTGTTCAGAAACACGTAGTTACCCTCAAAAATCGTACCAGGCGAGAAACTTCTTGAAAGATTTCAGCTCCTCCTAAGTTGGCTATGAATAGCCAAGGTTTCCGTTTTATGCATCTCTTAAAAAGAGCAATTGCATAACACCACAAAGCTGTTGGAAGATTCAGGCTCAGGACCCAAAGAAAGAAGGAGCTGGGTCCTAAATCGAATCGGCAACACCACTTCCTATTTTGCGGGAGAGAACGTTAATTTAAATATTTTGTGACTTTTTGCACCAGTTTATGCTGTAATTCAGTTAAGTTATTTTTTTAAAAAGAGAGAAACATTGCTCTTTATAAATATTGCTTTAGCATATTTATCAGGACAGTAATGACAAACGTAATTTTTATTAATTTATCTTGTTATGAAATGCAGTGATAGAACACTGAGGAGTTTACATGAAAGGACTTTGACTGCAGCTATCAAGAGAAGCTTGGCTAAAAATGTAAAATTCTCCAGGCAGTTCAACTTCACATAATGTGGAGATTTGGAACCCACAGCCTTTCTATTTGTCAGGCAAAGCCCCTCCGGAGTCAATGAGAAGGCACAGTGCTTACTCCCCGCTCTGAATTAACAAGGTCAGTTCCATTACTTTTCAGAAGTAGGAAACCTTACCAGGAAAAAAAAAAAAAGATTATAGGTAATCTGTACTATACCACTGTACACAATGGATATGTTCTTGAAAAGTTATTAGGAATAGTGTATTTGTAAGTGGCATCATATTAGCATGCATTATAGAGGCTCATTCTACAAAGGAACCCCATGGTGAATCCCTTTACAAAATGAAAAGGAAAATTTGTTATGCAGATAACTACCTTTTAATTTATCTGTTTTAAAATCTGGGTTTTCATGCATCTATGAGTCTTAAAACAGAGCACACCTGTATATCCTTCTAGCACCTCCCACCGTGGGTTAAATAAATGTTAGTTTCCTCTCTTCTTAACTCCCAGAACACTTTTTAAACACCTCTCCTATTGATAGATAACAGTCTACCTTGGAGTATAGGAGTCGTCAAATCTTTTCTGTAAGGAGCAGAGAGTAAATATTTTGGGCTTTGCGTGCTGTATCTCTCTGCCACAGCCACTCAACTGGGCTGTTGTAGCCAGGAAGGCAGCCCGAGAAAATAGTATTGAATGGGTGTAGCCGGCTTCCAATAAAACTTTATTTATGGACACTGAAATGTGAATTTCACATAATTTTTACATGCCACAAAGTATTCCTGTTCGTCTGATTTTTCTTCCCCAACCCCAGTTAAGAATATAAAAACCATCTTAGCTCACATGGGCAAAAATACATGATGGGTGGAATTTGGCCATAGTTTGTGAACCCCTGGTATAGATGCTTCTGTCTGTATCTTACTTCCTCTAGTCGTTTGTAAACTTCCTGAGGGGGAAGAGCTGCAGCTTAGTGGACTGAGTGTGGGCTTAGGAGTAGATGGGCCTGGATTTATATATATATATTTTAAAGATTTTATTCATTTATT